TGAAACCACTGGATACACTCCAGCAAAGTTGATGTTTGGTCGGAAAAGAGGTGCATGCCAACAGGCTTTGGCGTTATCACGGTACAGGACATTGCAGTTGGGACAAAGTGGACAACAGAACAAATGACGCTGCTGAAGAGGTGTCACCTGAAAAAGCCAACGTCGAAGAAGAAACTCTACTCAGTTTCGAGAAGGGAAACGATGAAGCTCTTGATGAAGTTACTACCACTGATGTGACTGTTACCGACGATAGGACATTTACTGATGAAGCAGATGAATCCCACATGAAGCAGAAGCCAACGAGACGGAGACCAGTACGAAAGAAGATACGTCCCGTAAAATTAAGAGACTTTGTTGAATTGTAATTTTGTGTTTGTAATTCTATACATTTAATTAAGTTATTGTTAATTGTTATTGGTTTATTGTAAGTGGTTATTGTTCAGGACGAACAACATTAAGGAGGGGGCAGTGTTGCGTCATCGAGATCACGTGACTATTCTCACGCTCTCTACTTTCTAGAACTATCCTGTATCTTGGCGAATGCTCTAGCATTTACTAGATATAGGGTAGTCTGGTATATATAAAAGAGGGTGACAACGTGACGGGAATGTAATGTGTGTGTAGATAGTGAGTAATTGAACTGCAGTCAGAGAGAGACGTATTGTTGAAGTTAACGTTCGTTATTATAGTTTGTTATAGCGGGACTGTTGAAAATAAGTGTATCATAAAGTTGTATTCGGAAAGAATAAATCAGTTTTATTAAGTAAGGACTTGTGTCGCTAAAGTTTCGTCAGAACGAAGTTACGGAAAGTTAATTAACAAACGGAGACGTAACAATATAATAATAATAGCATATAGTCTCTACAGTAAGTTTAATAACTTGATGAAAATGAAAGTTATAAAACATTAATAATTTTTCAGATCGTAATAACTGTTAACCTTAATCATCACAACATATTATTCAGCAGTTAACACCATTCATCATTGTATTAAGTAGACTTACTTTTCTGTATGATACTAAAAAGAACTACATTTTGTGTAACAGAATGACAGAAAAGAAACACTATATAAGGTACTTAATTACTTAGAAAATATTTCTGAATTTAAGCTGTCACTAAGCATGAACATGAATCATCAATTATTTTACGAACAAAAGCGTTACCTTATCCACATAGTTATCTACAGTTAAAAAGAGTATAAAAATGTATATGTGCCATTTTTAGAAGAAATGTAATTTGATAAACTAGTCTTTGGTCTCCTCTTTTTTAGTTATATTTTTCTAGTCTATTTTAATTACTTTAACTGAAATTGCCTTTTAATCAATATCATTAAAGCATTTGTAACATAGATAATCCCCAGCATGAAAATATAAAATGCTCTTAAACTCTAAATCAGACTGATCGATCAGGAAAACTCAAGTTGGAAGAGTTTCTTAAGCTTTGGATGGATATCAGAATGTGGAAGGTAGGAAGAACTTCGTATATTCTACAAAACAGAAAGAATGTTCATATTCTTCTACAATGATAAAACATTTGAATATACAGGATAATGCGACCTCTTTTGTTCTATTACATAAGTATTTGCTAATACCTTGAAGCCTGCCATCTGAACCTAGATAAGTTAGTATTTTTAAAAACACTATTTGATGAAGTTGATCAAATTAAAACTGAGAAATAATTAATCCCTCTGAACTTTTTCAATGCCTCCACTTGACACTTACAGTTGTTTCTGAAAAGATGCATTATATCCCAAGGAAGCATCATAACATATTTTCCATAACACCTGAAGTGAACAGAATTTATGTATTTTGTTTGAAATAGTTTGTTCACTAAAGCATGTACCTTAAAATCATTTTTATGCCCAGTATATTTCAAGATGTGTAAACCAGTACTCATTTTTCTCACTGCAGCCACATACGTATTTTATTTGACATCTTGTCATACATATTAGTTATTTAGATTTTAAAATATAATCAAAAGTATATTATTACACACAGTCTGGAAATCATTTTTTGGTAGTGCTTCATTTGTCTGTGTTGCTTAGCAAAAATCTATGACCTGATATTGTTGTCTTAAATATGTATACAATACTTCAAATGTTCATTAAAGCTGGCTTGAATTCCACTTTTTTAAATTGTTTTATGTTTTAGTTTATGCATATACTTAGCTTGAAGCACACATTTCAATGTTCTTGGCAAGTTTTAAAAACATTTAAGTTAGAGGTTAGTGACCATAATTCTTAGGTTTTTATGAGATTTTTCAGTTTCATTATTGCATTTTTGGATAAAACGTTTTTTCATTTTTTCTCACAAATGAATTGCCATTAGTCTCAACTAATGATGGTACTTGAAATTAATTTTTAAGTTTAAACTTTGGTTTAGATGACTCATCTTATTTTTATTATTTTAAACTATAATTTTTAGATTATATAATTTGTGATATAGCCATAATGTGTTGAACAAACTGAAATGTAAAAAAAAGAAATTTAAATAAGAGTTTGATAAGATTTTCATACATTTATATAAAAATCCAAACTTTGGCAAGATACTACTATTTTTTTTCTGCTGATTAAAATCTAACATATATAAAAGTTGTCATTTAGTGTGTGTGTGTAACATTTATATAATGAGTCATTATTAATTTAAGTTTACACAACTGTTATTGATTTTTGAGAGTGTATTTGAAAAATGTTTTTATGTTCTCAGTATGTGGTTGTTTTTCTTTTATGATAAAGGGGATGTTTGGTGAACAAAGCTTGCTGAAGGAAGGGTGGGGGCCCTAGTTTTTTTTACAACACTCCAACCTGTCATTTTTTGGCGGGTAGGGCATGGCTAGTATGTAAATACTAATCACACCTTTGTTTCTTTTATATTTCTGTGTACTTTAGCTATCATACTAAAATCATTTCATAATTTCTGTGTATAATGTTTTGTTTTTTTCCAGCATAAGTCACTATAGTTTCTGTATATTTTCATATAGAATGTATTCAAAACCTATGACAGAGATGAATCAGGGTTTCTCAGTACCCTTGAACTCAGAATGGCACTAAATTCAGCAGGTGAGAATTAAATTTGATATAATAGATTACTTGATAGTGCTATGTGCTAACAAAGAACATCTGTTTATAGCAGTAACTTATATCATGTTTAATACAATACTTGATAGTACTATGTGCTAACGAAGAACATCTGTTTATAGCAGTAACTTATATCATTTTAAAAGAAAAAGTAATGTCTGTTTACACCAATAACTTAAAACATGTTTAATATAATACTTAGTACTATGTGCTAACAAAGAACATCTGTTTAAAGAATCACTTAAACTTTGTCTTGTTAAACAATTAGAAAATCAACATACAGAAACTTCTGAGTAGTGTAATAACATATGGGTCATAAAACAAGTTAAAAATCATGGAATTCTTATAACCAACAAAAATTTATCAAGGGACATTTATAGTAATGTGGTACTATCTTTTAAGAGCTTTTCAACATGCATCATGAGCATATCACATTTTAGTATCTCATGAACAAGCATAACTCAAGAGAAGTCTAGACATGGCCTAGTATTCCAGGCCATGTTTCAGAAGATCAGAGGTTGAAATCACAGTGTACTGCTGAATATGCTTTGCACTTTCAGCAGTGTGGGTGTTATAAATGTGACAATCAATCCCACTATTCAGTTTGGAGGACCTGCATTAGTGGTAAGTGCTGCTGACTTTTTGATCACCCTCTGTCCAAGAGTTCTAAATAAGTGTTCCTGACTTGACCTGACAAAGTTGAAAATGCTAATTTCAAGAGAAAGAAAAAAAAAAGGTATGAAGCTTTAACTGCTTCTTGTTTGGCTGTTTTTAAGACATTTTCAACATCCATCATGAGCACATCAAATTTTATTATCTCATGACCAGTTGATAAATATTCAGGATATTGAAACAAAAGTCACTTAATGTGATTTTATATTATTTGCAGTACATTATTTATGATTCTGTTGGTTTTTCTTAGTCACTTAGTATACCTATATTTAGTATATTGATGGATTACATGAAAAGTATAATTATCACTTTTACATGCTTAATGTAAAATAGCATTCACAAAGATATAAAAGTATTTTCTGTTTATTAAATCTGTCACATTTATTAAAGGATAGATCAAGGATATTTTTTCCTAACTAGGGTATCGAGTAAACAGTAATATTTTGCGGACGTTGGTCTTAAGATATGGGAAGAAAACGCAGATGGGATTTGAAGAATTTCTGATATGCACTGTGAAGCTGAAGAGTATGATAGGTAAGAGTACCTCTTTTCTAGTTTTTGTTTTTAAGAGCTCTTTTTCTATATTGAGTTATAGGAAAACTGGGCCTAAATATCTACTAAAATACAGTGGAATATGTTCAAGTAATAACAAGATAACAGAAGACATCTGTAAAATAATCTAATGTTGAGGTATCTATAATAATAAAAGGGTGTGTCTGTTATACTGTGTATGTGTGTGACCACCATAGCCCCAAGAAGAAAGAACATAGAAACCTGAAATTTTACACCCATAAGTTGACCCTCAGAGGGTGCACCTAGGTAATATTACTTATCTACATGCATGCATGCTCATGTTTTTATGTGAAAAATCACATATATAAAGAAATGTGACTGCCATAGCTACAAGAGAAAAGAATCTAGAAACCTGAAATTTTGCACCCATACTAAATGCACCCTGAGGGTGTGCACCTGGGTATTACTTATCTTATCCACATGCATGTGCATCTTTTTAATGAAGCAAGCAAGTGAAAAAACACACAGAAAAGAAGTGTTACCTTATATAACAACTTCTAATATCCATGTTTTGGTAACAATGTATGCCTAAAATTGCTTTTATGTCATGTTGCTTAGAAACAAAAGTATATAGGTTTATACTTTTATGTTAAAATGTGTTCAGAATATACACACACTATCAACCTAATAATCCAGGTACTTTCACTACTGTAATAATAATTTGACTAAGTAGAATGTTTAAGTACATGCCAATTAGAAAAAACACACAATAAAGACAGTTATTTTGTTGCATTTTATATAACATCTGAATTTTTTTTTATATTTAGTAAATAAAAGATATGTAACTAAGTTTCAAAAAGAAGTCTTGATGAAATCTATTTAAAAAATGTTTATATTTTCATTCTCACCTGTTTAATATTAAGCAGAATAGTGATTTTTGTTATTATTATATTTTATTTAAAAGTATTTGCCAGTGCTAAAAACTATTGTTAGAGGAAAGCTGAAATAGATATGTTTCTGGTTCTTTTACAAGATTAAATCATTGTACTATATCTTCAACAGTAAGAAATGTTAAAAACCTTTGATAAAAATATCTCATAATCATAGCACTGTTGATTGACCATTTTTACTTGTATATAGTTTAATACAATATGTGTCTCTTCACAAAATTTGACAGACTTTTAGTAAGTATTACAAGTCTTTTGTACACAAAACAATAAGCTTTTTAATGAAGTTTTTTTTTTACTAAAGATTTGTCCATGAATATATCATTTTTTTTTACCAGTCAGAGTGCAAAGTGATTTTTCATGTTAAGATTAACAAAAATACTTTTCTTCATCTCAAAAATTTCAAATGTCATTTACATAATCTCTAAAACCTCCTAAGTACATTTCAAATGTTTGTTTTCAGTAAAACTTTATATTTTATCTGTTATTTTCTCTACCCTAACTCTATACAAGGTTGGTCAATTTGATTGACCTCGTAACCACCAAAAAAAAAAAACTTATTAATGCGAAAAATAAATTGTATATGTTTAGTTAACTGAAGCAAACTTTAAGTAAAAATTTAGAATACTACTTCTACAAATAAGAAAGAAAATGGAGAGATAACTATAACAATATACACAAAAACCTTTAAATGAATAAATATACAAAATAAACACTTATCTCAGTGTCCGACACTAGGTCCAACTCCCCTTATTTTTACTCCAGTCCTGATAGTAGATCCTTGAAAGCAGCTGTAGATTTTCATTGGTCAATGTCATGTCCCAAATTAATGCTTTGGCCCAGGCCAGGGCCTACCTGGTCTGATCTTGTTTTGTCTGCAGTTGGAAGACCTCTTACTCCAACTGGGAGGGTGGCATGAATCGCCATTAGAGTCGGTCCCTGCCATGTTGTACAGTGCCAAGGTTTCTATCTGTCCCTTTGTCAGCCATGTCCTGGAAATTCCACTTTAGAATTAGAATTTGCATCATTGTCAGGACTACATTGGTGGTTAGGTTCCTTTTTAGTCCAACTCCTGGCTTTCATGGCTCTTGGGACTTTTTTTTTTTGGAGGGGGCTGATTGGACATTGATGTTTCATGATTTATCAGTCCTGTGGTCCAGAAATCCTCCAAATGTTCTGGTCTTGCTGTTAAAGTTAAGGACCTCTCATTCAACACAAAGGTGGTGCTGGTTGCTGGTTGGTGGTCTTCGCTGACTTGTTCTCATTGTGGATAATGGTAGATGTTGGTATAATCACTGTTGAAGGTAGTGGAGTGCCAGCTGGGCATTAAAGAATGCTTTGCTATTTTCTCTCTAGTGTTCGACCCCCCCCCCCCCCCCGAAGCAACTCAGGAAATGTGCCTTCTCTTAGTTGATGAAAGGCATCCTCTCCCAGAACATGGATGTAGCAGCTCCAGATGTTAAGATGTCTACCATTTCTCTTTTTTCACCATAGCAGTTGTTGGGCAGATGGAAAGTTCTCAATGACCAGCATGGCACTGAATATTGGCCACGTTGCTGGAGGGTCCACCTGTGTCCAGCAAAGGATGAGATGCAAGGGCACTGAATTTTTCATCTGAGGTGGCTCAGCCTCTGGAGATTTCTTGTGTCAGCCTGACACCTTGCATGGCGAGGTCCTGAATGTATGTGTTTTTCAGCAATGTATCTACATCCATGGGCTCTACTGGGTTGAAGGTCAGCCTAGCTCTAAGCATCTTTGGCTCAACAGAGTAGTTCAGCTCCTTGCCAAAAGGAAAGTCCTGATCCTCAAAGTGGCTCTTCATAGCAGGATCTTTTGAGGTTTTGGCACAGAAATAATGGAATTCTGACTAGTTGAAGAACAAGATAGTCAAAATAGTTCAGAACGTGACCTTAATTATCAAGGGTCCAGAATAAAAGTGTAAGTTTAAAGAATTTTATTGGTCAAATGGTCAGCCAGGTATTGGGATTTAAAGGGGTTTGTAACCAGTGGTTAGAACATTACTGGTTCCTAAAAACTACCTTTAGAGGCCAAATAATATGATAATTTCTATGGCAAGGCAACACTTTTATGATCCTGTCTGTGAATTCTATATATTATTGATAATTTTGCCTACTCGTATATTTCAATTTGATGCAATTGAAATACCTTGACCACTCTAACCAGAAAACCTCAAGTAAAACTGTGTTTTCTCATAGACATAGTGTGATTTTTTCTGATACTCTTATCCTTCCATGAAAATTCACTACCTGTTAAATATTTCAGTGTTGAAATTGAAACATTCTCACATGAGTACTAAGGAAAATAGCAGCCACACTGTATTTACCACTAGAACCTTACAGGTTAGTAATCACAGTTAACATTGTCTGAAGGTCTTAACATCCAGATCAAATCCTTTGTTTCCACTTGCTTGTGGCTTTATAATTTTGTTTATATCGTTATTGATTCATTTGTGTCATAAGTGTGAGACCACACATATTTATTCAGACATGCATATTGCCATATACATTTATCTCTGTTACATGTTCTCACATATACTAATGGCTTTCATCAGATTCTCCTCGGCTCACACTCAATTTACCTTGTAACCATCTCAGGTTACTTTCCAAAGCTACTGTGGGTAAATATCTATTAATAAACTTAAACTGCTGCCACCTATGAGTGATCAAACCTACAAATTATTTTCTTTCAGACATAACAATATAAATAATCACTGACTGAGTGTGGCTGAACAAAGACTTTTTAACTAAAATTTTCACAATTCAGGATTAATTTTTCATGCAATTACTACAGTATATACATCAGGATACACTCAAACAAATATGAAACTGTATGTGAAGAAATTTTATTCCCTTTAAGTGAAGCTCTCATTACTGAATTTTACCAGGTGGTGATTCTCACATTTCACCTCAGAAAAATAACTGAATACCTTGGAAATCCAGAGCCACAAAGCCATTTTAACTATGTTTTAAACTCTTATCTATTGTCTTCAGTTGTGCAAACTGTCGATGCATTAGGTATTATATCTATTGGCACCAGTCATCCTAATTTGTGTTAATGAATAGCTTTCTTCTAATATTCTAGTGATACCTCTTATAGTCAAATTCTGCCTGGTAGTTTGGAAAGTATTGGTCATAAAACCCTTTTGGTTCCATTAATCTTGCAATCAACGAATTGACCTAACTTCAAATTATTGAGTCATAATTATACTATGTAGAGCCAAAATTGTACCTTACAATATCACCCAATAGCAAACCATTGTATTTTCAAATACCACAATACATATAAAATTAATTTTGTTTACAGTTTCATAGAAGATCTATTTAATATGATAGCATATTGTTTTTAAATATCTTATAAATTCCTTACAATTCTTTCAGTGTAATTTAAAAAATATTAAAAAAAATTCTATATCTTGGACTTGTCACTTTACCAAATCTTTTTTTTTCTTCTGTTGACAGAATCTTTTCTTGAAAAAGATCCAAGACAAACTGGATGTGCTAACTTCACATTAGAGGAGGTGAGTAGACTTGCTGCAAATGTACAGAAAATGAATATAGCAATTTAAATTTCTGCTTATGCTTTTTTATCAGAAATTGCACGAAACTGACTTAGAGTGTGGATAGGATTAAAGTCAATCATAAGAAACAATGTTTTTTTTAAATATATCTTGCATACTTTCACTAATTTTATTAGCTTCATGGGTTTTAATTACCTGTGGCATAAAACTAATAGATAAATGAATTTTTATGAGGAAAAGGATATTAAAAGACCCAATTTCCTCGTATACTTTCCAAGTTTTTTGGTAACTATATATGAATTTTGCTCTTTGTTTACGATATGAAAGGAAATTAATACATAAAATACGTGCCACACAATCTTTGGAAATTTTTGTTGTATTTGATACTTCTAAATCAAACTTTGAAATTATCACCAAGTGGCTCTAACATTAAACTATGATCATTACATCTGGATATTTTAAAGTAGATGAATAAATATATTAGACTGTTCTGGATGGAAATAGATTAAGTATGCTAACCATCATACTTATAGGTGGATGTTGTGATAACTTCATAAGAAAATATATTGTAGAATATCATCTTATACTTACCTTAAACTTAATTTAATGTGAAAAAAGAACAAGAATCTAAATCCTTTTTTCCAAATATTTTAATATGTGATATATTTCTTCACAATAATGATTTTTTCTTTACTCGTAAAAAATAATACAACTACTTAGCTTTATGTACGTTTACTATGAATTTACTAATTATTCTTAATCCAACAAATAAAGTACTTTTGTTAATATGGTACTATGTATATTTTCTGCTAGTGGGTGGAGAAGACCATGTACAACTGAAAACCAAACTGTGCCAGGTTACTAATTTGAAGTGTGTGTTGACCTCAGATGTCCAAAATCATTTTAGTTCTTCTTGGCCTAGCATCGTTCTTCCACGTAACCAAGATTCTTTATGTTTTCAAGATAATTTTTGGCTTTTGTGCTTTCCATGTATCGCGGCACATAAGTTGACCCCTAAATCTAGGCTAAAAAATCCTGTAATTCTCTGATCACCATCATATAATTCTACCCCCCCCCCCAAAAGAACAACAACAAAAATTATACAGAAAGCCATTATACATTTATTTCAAAAGGCAAACGAATATTTACAGAAAAAAGTTCATATACAATTTATTTAACAGTATTGACAACAAAATATAAAATCCATTAAAGTCCTATCTTAAGAATCTGTATTGCCAAAAAGTTCATTGAATTCGCTTTGACTTCTAATCATCGTAGATATTGCATCTCTAAATGGGATCATCATCATCATATTCGATCGTTGGGCAGGTATTGTTTTCTGCCGTAGGGCCAACTTGTGTCACTTATTGAAATGGCTACACCACCTCTGAGGAGCAGTAACGATAAAAATATATCTCATCTTGGCCCACGCCTTGATTGTAGCATAATCTGAATCCTAGTTACAATCAGACCAGACTTGCGGTTTTCGTCAATCGCGGACGAGTTTTTCATTTACGGCTAATTCCCTACTCGCAGCACAGTTGTTTGTCCTTTTAGTAAATTTCACGACTTGAAACTTGAATTTTATTTCGTATTTCATACATTTTGACTTTCAGATATTGAATGTATCACCAAAACGACAACTGGAATGCAACCTTTATAAGGTCATTTCCTAGAATTTCAAAACATAGGCTCTGCGCGAAGATCACTGTAAGTTGTGTCTAAATAGATCGGAGCTCCACTGACATCGATAATTTTCCTACATTTTTTGTACCCGTTGTATTTCTTGGATTAATATTTAGTCATAAAAAATCAGCTTAAATGCCGCGATATACGGTACGTTCGTTGATGAGTTTGTCATTTCAAACTATTTATGATGAATTACTTCTGGAATTCTTTATTTTCTTTTTCTTCTTTAATATATTGACATGTTGCTTTACAATTAATGATCTTTTTTCTAGAATGTTTTATAACATAGAACAATTATATGATTAATTTTTAATGCAGCTGTAAAGTTGTTTAAAGAATTTCAAAATCCATAATTTTGCAGTGAAATAAAAAATATATATTTAAATTTTCTCAACATAAAGACTGCTTGGTGTTGACGTACTCACTACTAAAAACCTAAAATACTTTAGGTGTTTAATTTTGTCGAACTAGTCTGTTCCAGCAAAAGTAGCGAATAAAAGAATATAATAGTCCTCTATATAACATTTTCTTCACTGAAATTCACGTTTTGGTGAAGAAAAGAAATTAAATAAAATTTATTTCCATTTATTGTCAGTAACCTTGGTGGTGCACATCTGGGCAAGTAAAAGTTTAACTTAAAAGCCAGATTACGTTTGCTGACAGAATTAATTAAATTAGCAGTCACGTACATATCTAAACTACATGAAATAGTCTGAGCCATGTCCCTAAAACTGTGGGTTTAATTATTTAACTGTACTTCCATGCTTTTCGAAAGTTAAATGCAGAAACATCTGATTTTTTTTAACTGGGAGTAAAACGCCTTTAATGTTTAAAGCTAATTCTTTTTTAACCACATTTTTCAAATATATATGTTTCATAATTTTTTGAGAAAGTTGATACTTGAAAATATAAAGGAATAGTTATGAAAATAGTCTCACTTTACCGTGTACATACTTTTTATGATTTTACAGTATTATTTGATATGCGTTTCAAAGTTTCCAAATACGTGGTCATGTTGAGTAAGCTAGATGTCATTGTCAAGATTGAGAAATATGAAATGTATTGTCGTTAATCTGTTCACTGAAAACGTATGAACCGTGGTATGCTTTGTTTGAGTTACATTATCAGTATTATCACACACATAAAATTAGCTGCTACTGTTGTTTCTATACCTAATTTTGACAGTTTGGTTAATAACGTTTGATAAGATGTAGAGTGTGACAGTGCCTTCAATTCAGTGTTAAGTTTTTCCAATAACTATAGTCAAAGGCACTCAGATATAACCACTTCTTCTTTTGTTTTTTAACTCTTCTATATACATTTTAAACAGATCTTCTCAATCATATAATAATTACAGTGAATCTCTTATAAACCACGTAACTAATTTATGTGTGACCAACCACAGCTGAAGATAAAAGGAAAAGTGTCTACAGAATTTTTAAATTGATTATGAGTAATGAGAACCGATTAGCAATTGAGTCATAATTTAAAAGGTTAAAATTCAAGGTACTTGTGTAAATATAAATAATTGAAACCCTCAAACAGTCAACATTTTTTAAGTACACAACTTAAAACTTTACTCTGAGACCATTTTGACACCATTGACAGTCTAGGAATAAAGTTTAATTGTGTACTTAAAATTGATTGTTTGAATGTTTTAATTATTAGCAACTGATGCCTTTTAATATTTATCAAACACGCATCTTTAATTGTAATTTAACACCGAATATACTGTTTCTATACAGTAAATGTTAATTTAATGACCATTTATTTTGGAATTGTTTTCAAATATGTAACTTACCCATTTATAAATGTAATTTTATTTATAGCTGAACATGGAATGTACTATTTTCATAACCTACCAAATGTTAATTAAATGGATATAAATATATTAATAAAGTGATATTTGAATCTCTTTACTTTTAAAGTAGTAAATGAAAATAATAACCTTTTAGTTAGCTACAGAAAAATGCACCTGTAACAAAATAACCCATTCTATTTTGAGAACCATAGCAAAGAAACAAGGTGGAGTAACAACTTTGATATACATTATTTTTATGTTTTTATGCCTATTTTATTACAAATAAATCTGTCATCTGTATTTCGTGTACTTGTAGAACAGGTAAAGGAATTTATATATTTTATACTACCAGTTATTATTTTTTACAAACTGAGAAAATTTTACTTATGGTGATGTCTTAAGTTTATTACAGAATGCAACACTAAGTATATATAAATATATATCTGTATAATGTGATTTCTCATAGTGAGAAAATAAAATTGTATTTTAGGGCAAAATATTTGTCTGATTCTAGTAATTAATAACTGTTTAGATACATTTCATACAGATATCAAGTTTGTTTATATTAAAGCACAAAAATACACAATTTGCTATCTGTGTGATACCCATCACGGGTATCGAAACTCAGTTTTAAGAGTTATAAACATTCAGGCTTGTCGCTGTGCAACGGTGGGAAGACAAATATCAAGTTACTTTTCTTTTGCATTTTATTAAAACTTAAATATAAGCTTTGTATTCAAAATATAGGAAAGATCCATTATTGATTTTTTTCTACTTTCCCACTATTTGTGGAGTAAACTGGTAATGCGATGTACCTACAGCACTAGTGTAAAATAGTAGAAAAGCTATGCTCTACATTATCAGTTCAAAACTAGACGTCTATGTGCAGTTAGCCCTTGTGTACCTTTGTGCGAAATGCTCAAGAAACAATGAAGCCATCTGAGCTGGGAAGACTTCCATTTCGTCTTTAGATTTGACCTGCTACTTTGACGTAGCTTCACATTTAGCTACTTATTATGTGAGACCGTGATGTCTGCTAATAGCGGAAAGAGGGTTTTGAAGGAATTCAAGATGGAAACTGGACAAACGCAGAGACAAGTGGCAACGTGTTTTGGTGTAACCAAGTCCGTCTTTGGAAGCATCATACTACTAAGAAACGAGCCTGCATAGTAAAAAGCCTGGACAAAGTTGTGGGAAGTGAACTACGCCATGAAATCACATGGCCGTTAATATGAATTCAGGTTAGCAACTAACATAGTCTTAACGAGTTCGGTTGTCAGGAGTAATCTATCACTCCTATAGTAACTACATCTTGCTGTTGAAACTTGACAACAGTATAGTACAGTACAGAATTAAGGTATAACATGTTCTTGTAATACATTATTTTTGACGCAAGTGTCACTTCCTGTAGTGGTACTTGTTTTATAAACCTATAAAATAGGCTTTACGGTAAACTGCCCTATTTATAGATTAAATATGAACTTAGTTAAAATGCATTTTAGGCCTCATGTAGAAGACTCGAAAACACCTGAAGAAAGTACTAAAAAGAGATTCAAAATTTTCACGAAGTGTTATTTTGTTCAGCTACAAGTTCAATAAGTCCTAAACATAAAGCAAGAGTCTTAGAAATGTGTGATTCTGACTGAAAATAACACTAGGTGTTTTATTTGATATTGTAGTGCACAACAAGAATGAATCCATAAATAACACCTCAAAAACTATTTAAAAAAATTTCATTATCTAATTAAATTTCAGTAATCTACGTATAAACATAAATTAAACAAAGCAGCTTAAATAAGTCGCGGTAGTCAATACCGGCGGAATTTCATCCCTGACCAATACAGTATACCCCATTTGAGTTAAACTCGTGAGGATAACTTCAGCGATACAAGTCCTTTCTTAACTAAAACTAGTTTATTCTTTCTCGATACAACTTTGTAATACAAAGAATTTCCACAGTCACCTTAAACTTAACTACCTTTATAAACCCATGCCATAAAACCAAGTGATTCACACCCTTTACTTTCGGTGCCTACTGT